ATCGAAGATTATGAATGAATGCGATGAGACGCACTGCGCATCTCGCTGTTCTTTTGCGTATGTTTTGTTGTTGTAACCGCAGGAGGCAAATTTTCAGTATGGGAAGTAGACAACACTAGTCTAAAACCCTATAACAAGAGTGAAGAACAGTCAGTTATGACCCCATAGTCATTTCTATGTCGGGTATGTTATATACCTGATTCAGTTTTGAATGTTAGATGCCAAAATACGTACCTGGTGAGAAGTGTTCACCAGATAAGGAATCATGTTTTGTGTTTTTATTTCTTATTATTCAGGGTTAGAGGAACATTGGCCGGTGTGTAGGAGAAGGTAGTGGCAGAGTTGGGTAATAAAACCTACATGAAATGATAGAACAATACAAACCAAGACAAAGTTCTTCTGTGGCGATATGTGTGCAAATGCTTCCCAAGGGTGCTATTTGTAAAAGAAAAGAAGAAGATTCCCCATTTTTGGCTAAGTCGCTCATCTTGTTTACATTGCGAGCGCGAATTCTAGACGCATATACTACCACAGGTATATAGGTAACCCACTACCCTCCTCTACGTCTTGACTGGGGGGGGGGGGGATCTTCTCTTTTACATATAGCACCCTTGCGCCAGTCTGAGGAGTATGAAACTGAAACTCAACAACGATAACTTGTGTGACTGAACGTGAACAGTGTTAAGGTTTTGAGCGTTTTGAAGCGAAAATTCTCGATGTCAATGACAATAACACTCCTCTTGCCATTTGCTGTTAAAAAAACGCCCTTATTATTGATAGTTTCCTGTTTTTATCATGAAGTCAAACTTGTTAATAAAGTCTCACGTTGTAATGTCTTTATCATCTATTGTGACCGATATCATAGCTGTGCTTTGTTTGCCAAGGAAATGAGTGCTACATTTGTTTGAAATACGAAGAAAACTTTTAGATATATCACTCATTGGAAAATCGGTGAGGGGTGTCTCCTTCATATTTACCACATCTTGTATGTTACTCATCTTAACTCCTGCACGACGGGTGGACGGGTGACGCTGATAGGCATGAAAGCAAACCGCTCTAAAAGTGGCGTGCGGCAAGCCGATGATTCGGCCTGGTGTACCAAACTTCCGTGCTCAAAGTCGCCACGCTGCGATGCTTCGCCAGAGCGTAGTTTTTTTCTTTTGTTTTCTTCACCCACCACCATTGGGTTAAGGCATGGTTTAGTTTTGTACTGTGGGAGTTGAATCTTGGACAGTGTAGTAGCATGTGATTTAAAGTCTCTTGCATCATCTGCAGAAAGGGTCAGTTTCCATTTTCATTCTTCTTTTTATGAAGTATTTCTTAGCTGGTGAATGCTCTGTGCCTGTTACTAAAAGACATTTGGATTATCTATTTTCATTCTTTTTAATGATTCAGATGATTTTATTTTGTGAGAGTTAAATGTTAGGCACTGAGGTGTTAGGTGTTCTGTAGTTTCTTGTTTGTGTTGGCACCATCAACATATTGGATCCATCTTCATTTTTAATTTATATAGTTGGACAATATGTAGTGTAAGGTAGTGGCAGAGTTGGGTAATAAAACCTACACGAAATGATAGAGCAATACAAACCAAGACAAAGTTCTTCTGTGGTGATATGTGTGCAAATGCTTCCCAAGGGTGCTATTTGTAAAAGAAAAAAAGAAGATTCCCCAATTTTGGCTAGTTTACATTGCGAGGGCAAATTCTAGTTGCATATACTACCACAGGGGTCCAGGGGGCATAGCCCCCTGGCTAGGCATATATAATACCACAGGGGTCCAGGGGCAGGGCCCCCTGGCTAGGGATTATATACCACGGTGTTAGGTGAGGTTGGATGTTGGGTTAGGACATTTTGTGTAACAAACACAGGGGTCCTGTTTTACCCCGTAATTTTCCTGATATACTTCATGCTGTCCCCTGCTATCGGGACTATCAAAATCAAGATTGTCGATGGAGATGGTGATGGTGATCATATCTCATCAATGATTCATTTGCACAAGGAACAATGCCTAGAGTCGTTGAAAGCAGTGGATTTCAAAATTGTTATGGAAGTAACCCACTACCCTCTTCTACATACTGACAGGGGGATCTTCTCTTTTATGTATAGCAGCCTTGGGAAGCATTTGCACACATATTGCCACAGAAGAACTTTGTCTTGGTTTGTATTGCTCTATCATTTCATGTAGGTTTTATTACTCAACTCTGCCACTACCTTATACTACATATTGACCGACTTAACTTCTTAGTGTTTTGTGTTTAATATTTGTTAGTCGTTCTTCCCATGTTTTTCTGTTTTTTTTGTTTTTTTTTATTTCTTTTATCAGATTGTTAATGTCTCTTGTTATAGTAGTGGGATTTGTTAATTCATGTGCTTTTATTGATGCTTGATCTACTGTTTCTGTGCCTCAAATGCCTAGGATAGGATCGATTGTAATTTGATATTCTCTTCTCGTAACATTTTGGCTATTCATCCGGCGTGCATACCCACCAGCTCTTGGGTTAGGCATTACTTGCAGATGAAACTTTTTTTTTTTGCTTTTTTTTTCTTTTTCTTTTTCTCAAGAATCTTACCCAGTCCTCCCTACCCTATGGCCCCATGATCCATCAAGGGAATACAAGGAAAAAAGGAAATTGCTATTGATCAACCACAGCATCATGTTATATTTAACATCTTTAACGTTTTTTTAATTGTTTTTTATCTGTTTTATTATTATTATTTGTTTTATAGGTGTTACATGGTTTCTCTAGTATTTTCGATAGCAGTATACTTTTATTATTTTTCTTATTTCCATAAATTCTATTCTATGTCAAGTATAATATATATAATAAGATTTTTGTTGTCTTTCTATTCTATTTCAGGTATGATATATATAATAAGATTTTTGTTGTCTTCCTTTACCCCATGTGTATGAGAATTGTTTTTTTTTCACATCTATCCTTTTTAAAGATTTTATTTTTTTACATTTTCAGTGGTCATACTTATTTCCAAAATCCATTTCTTTATTTTCTATTTTTATGTTAGGTATCTTTCTTATCTTTTTATGTGTAAAACACATTATTTTACTTTTTGTTAAGTTTATCTTCAAGGATTTTTGTTAATTGTATGCATTCAAGTTCTTTTACTCCATTTGTTAGTGGTGGAATGTTAATGCTTGGATCAACTCCAGCTATGACTGGATCAACCCCGGTCATAGCTGGAGTTGATCTAAAACATCCAGTTGCTAGTCATAGTACTTGATTTTTTAAAAGTTTCTAGTTTTCTTAATTCTGTTTCTTTTGTTGCTCCATAGATTGTTATTCTGTATTCTATTTTTGATTTTATAGAATTTATAACATTTTTTGTAGAATTTCTCTGATTGCTCCCCAGTTTAATGAAGTTAGTTTTTCATATTTGCTCTCCCTAAGATATCTATTTTTAAACTTTCTATATGATTTTTCCATTTTAGTTTGGGGGCGTCTAATGTTAAGCTGAGAATGGTACGACTCTGACTATATTTAAGTTCTATATTAGCTATTCTTTATATTGGTAATTGGTTTATCTTTTTGTTTGAGAAGCACTTTAATTTACTCTTCTGTAAATTTTATTTTCAAGTCCCAATAATTGGCCTATTCTTTTATTTTTTGTAATTCTATTTTATTGGAGGCTTCTAATAGGTTTTTGTTTCTTTTCTTACTGTCATTTAGCAATAAATTAAATAGAATTGGCCTTATTGGTGACTCTTGAGGTATGCTACTTTGTATTGTTCCTTTTTCTGATGTTTGGTTTCCAATTTTATTTTAAAGTATTTCCTGTGATTCCTAGTTTTGATATTTTTAGTAATATTGCTTCATGATTGACTGTGTCAAATGTTTTTTTCTAAATCAATACACGCTAACATGATTTTTGTTAAAACTTTATTTTTGCGGATGTCTATTGTGTGTAGTGCATCAGCTGTATTTCTATTAGGTGTGAATCCTGTTAGGTCTTTCTCTAAGTTGTTCTTATGCTTTAACCACCATATTAATCTTTTTGTTGTATTTTTACACATCTTGCCAATACATGGAATTCTGCTTGTAGGTCTATACAAGTTTGCTCCGAGGAATTTTTTAACCGTTTGTATATTAGGATTTATTAGTGCATTTTTTAATGGAGTGTAAGACCTTTCGCGAATACTGCCCCAAATCCTTATACTTTAACCTAATGCCGACGGGTATGACGTGTACGTATGTGCTATGCCCACGGTGAGTACTTGTTTGATTGTTTTTCCGCATAGATGGCATCACTTGTACTGAATCACCAATAAGCCAGTTATGAGTACTGCCTGTCTCACTTTCTTTGATTTACGAAATATTTTATGTTATCTTATTTTGCTGTTACTAATGTTAAAAAACATTTAAATAATTATAATGTTTATAATAGAAATAGCAGCATCAATATTCATAGCATTAGTGAAAATTACGTTTTTCCTGCCATTTCAAATCAGGCGCTACCAGAGCCATCTATCGGCAGAAATTTCACAAAAATATAGAAAATAGGCACAGCATTTTCCCCATTTTTTGTTCATTTTCCCCGGCGGCAATGGGTTAAATTGTGTCCTAGTGGGGAGGCATTACAAGCTGTGAGAGGAGCTGAGGGTGATTACAAAAGAATATTTAAAAGATTAGACAACAGATTTGGAAAGACAAGGAAGATAGTAGACCTTGTGTTAAGTGATTTGAAATCTTTGAAAAGGATTTCTGATGGTGATACTAGAGGACTTATCAAAGTGGTAGATCTGTAAGAACAATGCTATTTCTGCTTTAAACTAAAGTTTAAAACAGCATTAGATAAATTCTTTGCTGTAGAAGAAATGGGAATTTGTTGTGATCCACAGTGATAAGTGCATGTGTAGGGGCTGTCCAGGATCAAGAATCCTCTGTGCTATGGTAAGCATAGTGGTCAAGAAGTAGATGTCATTGGGCATGCTGTTCTGTAGATAGTCAATGTTTCCCCTGGAATCTGTAGGTATGACCACATGTCCTTCCCTCAGGGATGTATGGGCCAGGGCTCTTATGATCGCAGCTGCCTCTGCCTACAGAGATGAGGTGGTACCTGTTACCCTCATGGTTTTTGTGGCATCTCTTGCTACAAAGCTGATGCCTGCACTGTGGGTTACAGGACTGACTGATCCATCCATGAAGTAGATTCTACTACCTGAAGAAGTGATGGCTGCAATGACCCTCTCAGCTTCTGCCTTCAGATTAGGCATGGGTATTGGTTCTTTTTCCTTAAAAGGCTCGTGACAGAGAACTCAATCAAGGTTTTGCTCATGGCAGGGCTTCAATATAGTCAGGGTTACCCTTAGCAAGTAGATGTTTTTTGAGCTCACAGCATATCAACACACTGGCTGTGTGTGGCAACCAGGAGTTGTTTGCAAAGAGCTCATAATATTGTTCTAGGTGTCTGAGTATTTTTTGTCTCATACTTGTGTTCCTAGGTGCCTGGATGATCTCTGAAAGAAACTGTGCTGCCATTAGTTAAATTCTGGAGTCCAGGGGGAGAATGTTCATCTCCATGAGGCATTCTTAGGCATCTGCTCTTCGTGCATTCTTTTAACTAAATCAAATAAGTCTGATTCACTGACACCCATACTAACTCCTGGCATTGTGAATAGATGTTCTATTGTCATTATTACTGACTTATACTTGAATTCATATACTCCCCAATTCCTTTTTCTTTGAGTAGAAATTCTAATAATTTTGGAAATAATTAATTTACACTGTTAACTTTCTCGGACATGACTACCCATTCTTTTTCTCAGACATGATTACCCATTCACTTTTTTGCACTGTAGGTAAAATATTCTCATTATGACTCACTACATGTGCAGTGTTAAGTTCAGCAGATAAATTTAGTTTCTTTAGATCTAATTAGCATTGTTCCAACTGATCTACCACTTTGATAAGTCCTCTAGTATCACCATCAGAAATCCTTTTCAAAGATTTCAAATCACTTAACACAAGGTCTACTATCTTCCTTGTCTTTCCAAATCTGTTGTCTAATCTTTTAAATATTCTTTTGTAATCACCCTCAGCTCCTCTCACAGCTTATAATGCCTCCCCACTGGGACACATTTTTCAAGCATAAGGATTTGGGGCAGTCTTCACAAACGGTCTTACACTCAGAAACATGTCTTAGATAAAAAAAGGCCTGGTTGCCACATCTCAATGTTAATGCTGGTAATAGAATAAACATTTACATTGTTATAGGCTCTATTAAGATAACTGATTACAGTGATATGTTAAAACTACACGCTGCAATAAAACTTACTTCTATGATCACAATAGTGTTACATATTTTAAATTTGGGCAATCATAGTTTGTTGTCATTGCATTAACAGTGAAGCCACACTGCAACATTTATATTTTTAAATAGAAAATTGCTATACAGCAATTTATTACATAATAAATAGGAAACAGATCAATTAATGGTTGACATTAAGGGCTGTCTTTAATGTGGTTAATTTGTTTCCTATGCAAATTTTTCTCTGTTGAAAAATATTCCACTTTGGGAATAAGAAAAGCTTCAAAGCCTGTTTTGACAAATTATAAAATTTTAATTTAGCCATCTATATTTTTATTGCTGTATTTTATTAAAAATATACAAATAGCAGTGCTTGCCTTTATAACTGATGCAATGACACTAAGAGTAGGGATGCCACATCACATTTAGATGTACTTAATGAGTAAAATTACCATTATGATGCAAGCAAGACTTATTGCCAGATTTACCTTATTGTCTCATTACAACAGATTATCAAAATAGGGTTTATGATGATATAAATGTGCTTTATTACCATTATCATAGCGTGTCACTCCAGACAACCAGCCGTTCCATAGTTCTTTGGTTTACTTTGACTAGATTTGGAGAGAGTGGACATGGTCGTAGTCAATAGTTTGGATGCGTTCTCCACACTCGCATGCTGGGCAGATCTTCAGGCCCCATGTGACCATATTGTCCCCATTTCTTGTGACCCCAGCTCTTGCTCTGTTGAGTGCAGACCACTCGTGCCTGGGAAACTGGGCGCCGTCTAGAAGCTCTTCTTTTGGCTCTTGAACTGCAGGATTGGGAGCTCTGGTATCTAACTCCTTCCACTTATCCACTCTGTGCTTTTGGGCAGATGTGCCTGGTGGTAGATCAACTACAGTGGCAAAGCTCTTCCGTGATTTTAGCCGATGTGGCACTGTTATTACCATAATTAACTTTGAGACAAAATTTTGAAAGACAAATTTTGGAGTCTAACACCTTTCATGTACACTTGACTAATTTTTCAAAAGTCCTCTTTGAAGCAAGGTTTGGATTTAGGGGTCACATGATAGCCTGGTTTTTGGACTTGCAATGCCTGGAAACTCCTTTTGTTGGAGGTGTTCAGTGTCGGTTGGGGAGGTTCTTCCTTCCTCCTAGGAGGGTAAGGAGCCTTTTCCCTTTTGTTCAATCCCCCGACATGGGTGCCTAGGGGAGCAGGAACAAAGTCTATTAGTATTTTAGGAAATTCTTGTCGCCTGAGGACCGCCTCATTCCTGACAGAGCAAGTCAGGCTCCAGGCATGATGCCTCTTGGCATAGTCGGGATATTTGGCTGTTGTGTCCCTTTGGCCTTCAGGATTCAGTGGTGAGATACACACTTTCCTCCCATCATTAAGCTCCTTTGATTCCTCCAGGAAATTCAGAGCAGCTTGATGTTTAGGGGCAGTGATCATGCCCTGGTCTCTGGCAACCCGGATTGACAACCAGATTTTTCCCTGCATTTCCAATGCTCTCACCAGTTGTTGAAGCCTTCAGGTTTAAAGGAAACCTTAAACTGTGGGAAATGCCTAGGGGGTCCAGACTCTCCCTCAGAGTCTATCCTCGGCCTAAGTCATTTCAGACCGCCCTTTCAGCTTGTATCGGCTTTGGTCCAGGGAGCAGCTGCTAGTTTGGCTGGTCCAGCTTGTGCTCCCATCTCAGTCAGGGTAGACGTTTGAGGGGAAGTCAGAGGTCAGCTGTTAGACAATCTCACGGACCGGCATGATTTTTGATGATGGGCTCTCTGTCTTGCCCATTTTAGCAGCAGGTCTGACAGAGTCAGCTTGTGATATTCTCTTGCCATTAGAAGCCATAAATGGCTTCAGAGTGACTGTTGTGGTCAATAACTTGCAAGGTTTGTCATCATTTATCTCGGTTTACATTTATGCAGTTACTTCATCTTCTCATGTTCCCACCCACTGCTGAGTCCAACAAGGGGAATCTGTATGTTAGAGCTTATGTCTATGCACCATAACTGCTTGACCCTAACCTCCCGAAGGAGACCAGAAAGGCCAGGGTCAGGCCACCCATCTTGCTGGAATAAGGTACCAAAGAGGCGTGTTGCTAGCTGCAGGGCGTACTCATACATGGCATTGCTCAACCTCCAGGACTCCCGTCTCCAGCACACAAGGCTGCCACGCACGGCAAACATGTGGGTAGGTGAAACTCCTGGGGAGAGACCAGAGGGGATGCCATTCCAGCTAGAAGATAGGCATTATTTGGTCATCCCTCTCCAGTGAGCCAACCACCCAAAAGCTGGTTCACCTTAGAGAGGGAGCTCAAAGTCCTGCACCTTTTCAAGGCGATTCCAGTTGCAGGGCAGCAGACAGTGTGCAATGTCTCGGGTGATTAAGGAGTGATCTTGTAATCGTGTCCGTAACTCATGACACCGGCATGAAGGGGCAAAGAATGCTGAATGAAGAATGCTCACCATCACCTCACCTGCATCACAAACTTGATCAAAACAAAAGAAAATAAATATTAACCCAATGACGCCGGGTGTACTAAAGGAAAATAAAACTCTACGCTCTGGCAAACAAAGGCAGCGCGCCGACTTTGAGCGCAGGAGTACGGGGCGTCAGCCCGAATCACTGGCTCGCCGCGCTTTGGCGCGCCGCCGGCTGGTTTGGCCGCACGCCACCTTTCGAGCGATTTGTTTACACGCGTATCGCCGTCACCCGGCGGCAAGGGGTTAAAATACCAATTTATTAATTAGTATCAACCATTATTAGTTTTTCACCAAGACATTATCTTTAACTATTCAGTTTATATAGAAAAAATGCAATTTTTTTTTTTTGCTTTGCGACTTGGCCATACGTGTAGCTGCATATAATTCACTCATTTTAGTCACTTTCGTTTTGTTCTAAAGTTTATCATCCATTACTGCTATTAAAGTAATGCAAAGAATTCTATTATAACGTTATATTGCAATATATATTTACACTGTGCATTGCTCTATATCTTATCTTTATAATTATCTTGTCATTTTTCTTTATGCATTGATTTTTTATAATTAAAATAATAGTAATTAATAGTATCATCCTTATTATTAGTAGTAGTAGTTACTATTATTTTTTGTTATTATTTCTATTAATTCTATTAATCACCATTAAGGTTAAAGAGCCAAAAAGAAAATGAGAGAGATAACAGGAATAAAATGGAAATTAACTACAAACTAGAGCAAAAACAAACAAACATGTGAAAAAAGACAAATAACTGTGATGTAATGGTACTTTTTATTTTCAGGGTGATTGGAAAAGAGACCATACAAAAACGGAGATGGATGATTTAGTAAGTTCCCCCCCTCCCCCTCACTCCCTTGCCCGTTGTTGTTGTGGGGGGCTTAGGAGGCGGAGACTGAGACCCAATGATGGGGAACTCCCCAGCCTTGGGACTCAGCCATCGACTCAACTAATTATGCATGGTCTTTTTTTCCCTTCCTACTTTTTCGTTTCTGTCCCTTCACCAAACCCTTCTACTATCCACCTCCTAAGGTGTGAGAGCCATGCTGAAAGGATGAAAGGCTGACTGTTCCAGTCCTGAATGGCCTGAGGGAGCCATGGGCACGGTATTCCCCTGATATAGTTACCTAGCCCTTACCCCTCAAGGGGTGGACTGTTTTTATCCCCAACATAATCCAGGCTTACATGGCCAATAATGAAAACATAATCCCACTATTAGGGGCAATGAGGCTTGCCCCTTTATCAAATAGCCCCAAAGATGCAAACCCTCCCGATTGCCTGCCCCAGGCTCTCCTTTGACCACGGCTCCGAACACTGCAACAACTACCCCCTCATCCATACCTACTAGTACAGTAGCCAACAATCAACCCCTAAGAGACATTTCCACTCTCCCAACATGCTCAACTTCAACACCTCTACCCCCACAACCTTCAACATCAACCACCCCATCCTCCCTTATTAATACCTTACAGCCTTATTGCCCACCTCTCCATAACACTACCTCCCTCAACACTACTCCCTCTTCGTCACGCCCCCACCCTTCTACTACCCCTATCTCTACAACAATCTTGAATGCTCTATTTAGCCCAGCCAAATGGGACCGATTTTTCGTGATCCCTCCCACAGCTCCCTACTCTGACAACACCCTTCTCTTCCAACAATGTTTCCAAAAACAAGTAGGTAAAGTCTCTTTCCGTAGCTGACCCAACCGCTCCTGTCTCGTCACAGTAACCTCTGAATCCCAAGCTATAGCATTAACAAAACTAATTGTCTATATGGTAACCCTATCCCTGCAGAACCCCATCCAACCCTCAATACTTGCACCAGAACTGTTTCAATCTCCCCAGCAAATTGCCCAATCTATGACAAAGATTGGTCAGATTGTGGAGAAGCCTTACTCGCCTGTCTCACAGACTATGATGCGACATCAGTACAATGCTACTCCATTCCCCCCAGAGGTCATCGAAAGAAACCCACTAACATAGCCAAAATTACCTTCTATAGACATGACCTTCCCTTTAACGTCTACATAGGAGGAGAATCCCTCCCTGTTCGTCCATACCAACCTCCTCCACGTCAGTGCCAAAATTGTTGGCGTCTAGGACACCCAGCTAAACATTGCTGTTCCACAGCCAGATGCCCACTATGTGCCCAACCTGGCCATACCCGATCCAACTGCTCTGCACAATCACACACATGTGCCAACTGTGGCGGCCCCCATAATGTATTTTATAGGGGCTGTCCCACCTACAAATTTGAGTCTGAGGTAGCAACTCTCAGATTCAAACTTAGACTCACACTGCGTGAAGCCAGACAGGAAGCACATCGACGTGGTTTCTCTCTTACTCCTTACTCCAGTTTATATTGCTCATTCTACGACTTCTCCTAAACCCACCCTTCCTACATCTAACTCCCCCTCTTCTACCTCCTACCTTCCCCAGTCAAACTCTTTTGCCATCTTAAATCCAGACACTCCAATCTCTACTACAGACACTCCAATCTCCACTATAACCCCAACACCTTCCCCTCTCCCTCCTCGCACTACCCGTAACAGACAGAACAAACGTTCCACCCCCTCTTCCCCTACCATACAATCACCTCCACCTTCCTTTGCCCCTACTCTTGAGACACCAGTCCTCTCTTCCCCACCTCACAAGAAATCCATTATCTCCCAAAACTCTCCAACCAACTCCTCAGAAGAAACTATTGAAAATATTCAAGATTACTTAATGAAAACTGACACTCAACCTTCAAATCCTACAACTCCTGCTCCTTCCACACTCCAAGTGACTGCCAATATCCATCCTCCTCCTAACGATATCCCCCCTACACCCTATCCTCCTACCCCCTCCTAACACAGCCCATCCCCCCCGACTCCAACCCCACCCACATTAACCCTCCCACCATCCCCGCCCACATTAACCCTCCCACCTTCCCCTCTATCCTTTCCACTCCCTCCTGAATACACACGTGAATCCCTTATGTCACAAGTATCCCCTTCCTCAGACCCTCCATCTCCTAATACCCCTCCTGATAGAACACCAACTCCCACACCTCTCCCATCTCAGACCTCTCAGTCCTTATCCCACCCTCTAGCTGCTTCCCCCTCAAATTCTCCAATGCATACTACAATCTATATCACTAAAGTATAACTATCCTTCATTGGAATATTCGTGGTTTCCGCTCTCACAGACCCGACCTTCACCATATCCTTTCCTCTTATAACCCATCCATTGTATGCCTTCAAGAGACCTTTCTTACACATCCACCAATACCAATCCCCAATTATCATTTTGTGTCTTCCCCACACTCCCTTTATGTCTTGTCCATACTTATCAATCACAAAACACCTTATGTCACACCTCCCTTTCAAACCAATGTCCCTTGCACAGTTATTCGTATCTTTCTTCATCTTTGGATCACAGTGATTTCAGTCTACTTCTCCCCTTCCCACCCCATTGACTTTGTTGCTTTCGAAAAATCAAATTTCCCAACTTCAACCACCTTTTCTCATAGTAGGTGACTTTAACTGCTGTCACACTCTTTGGGGTGATTCTATCACCAACTCCCGAGGCCGATCCCTAGAGTACTTCCTCTCCACAGCTGACCTTACTATTCTAAATTCAGATTGCCCCACACACTTTGATTCACACACACAATCTTTTTCATGCATTGGCCTCTCTCTATGCTCCCCTTCTCTTCATTTAGATTTCCACTGGTCAGTCTTAGACCTCTTTCCCTATAGTGACCACTTTCCAGTTCTCCTTTCTCCTACTTCATATGTACCACTTCCTAACTCCCCACACTGGTGCTTTGATAGAGCCGACTGGCATACTTTCACTTCACTTTCTGCTATTCATACCCCACCATCCTCCCTCTCCTCCATTTCAGAAATGATACAGTGTTTCACAACTACAGTCCTAAGAGCTGCACATACAGCTATCCCTCGAACCTGAAGACCCTATACCTCCAAATGTGTTCCATGGTGGAATTCTGATTGCATTAAAGCACTGCGCTTAAAACGTGCAGCCTGGAACAGTTACCGCTACAAGAGAGGTACTCCAAATCAACTATCAGCCCTTATCTCCTTTAAAAGAGCATCTGCCTGTCTTCTTCGTACAATCCGGAATAGTAAAACAAACAACTGGCGAAATTATGTTTCATCAGTTACATCCTTTACATCTATCTCAAATGTTTGGCACCGAATCCATAAACTATTAGGCAAACATCCCCCCCATCCTGCCCCCGTCCTCCATATTTGAGATACCCTCATTTCTGATCCTCTCCAAGTCGCTAATGAACTGGGTGAATATTTCAGCCAGGTCAGTAGTAGTTCTCACCTTTCTCCACACTTCTCTTCTACTAAGACCATCAGAGAACGCACCCCCATTACCTTCACCCCATCCTCCTCCGAGTCCTATAATGCTCCATTTTCTTCCTCTGAACTCACTGCTGCCCTACAATCGTGCCGCAACACTCATGAAGGCCCTGACAGTATTCGCTACCGTATGCTCTGGCAACTCCCATCTTCCTCCTTATCCTTCCTATTAAAAATTTACAACCACATATGGACATCAGGAAATTTTCCTTCTAATTGGCGAGAAGCTCTTATCCTTCCCTTCCTTAAAACCCAATAAATCGGGTACCCTCCCTCAAGACTATCGCCCCATCGCACTAACTAGCTGCTTGTGCAAACTATTAGAGCGAATGGTGAACTTCCGCTTAATGTGGTATCTTGAATCTCACAGTGCCCGAAGCACAGCTGACCCCCTTGCTCATTTTGAGACATATATTACATCCGCATTTGCATGCCATGAATCCGTACTAGCTATATTTTTTTATCTAGAAAAAGCATATGATACGATATGGCGGTACCACATTCTCCAACAATTGTCCTCTCTAGGCATACGTGGAAACATGGGTGTCTTCATAAAGTCTTTCCTCTCCCAATGCACTTTCCAGGTCAAAATTGCCTCTGCCACATCATCTTTCCTCAAATCAAAGGTGTCCCACAAGGCATTGTGCTCAGTACCACTTTATTCCTTCTTGCTGTTAATGATATAGTCTCAGTTTTACCACCAGGAGCCCGGTAATCACTATATGTTGATGATTTAACCATCTATGCCTCTGGCACACCCATACCAAATCTCTACCAATTTCTTCAGTCTGCAATCTCATCAGTATCTTCCTGGGCCCCAAACCATGGCTTCTGCTTTTCTACCTCTAAATCTTTCTCCATCCTTTTCTCTTGCACACGTGTAGGTCCCCTACCTCCACTCTTCTTATATGGCACTCCACTCCAATACCATTGCTCTGGCAAATTCCTAGGTGTCATTTTTGACTCCAAACTGTCCTGGCGAGACCATATTCTACACATTAAAGGAAAAGCTCTCCGCCGTCTTCGAATCTTAAAAACTCTATCCCATATATCATGGGGCTCAGATCGCAAAACTCTCCTTCATCTTCATGTTACTTTGATTCTCTCCACTCTTGATTATGGATGCCATATCTACTCCTCTGCCTCAACTTCTCTCCTTGCCCATCTTGATACAATCCATCACTGTGGTCTTCGCTTAGCACTAGGCGCCTTCCGCTCCTCTCCTCACCTCTCCTGTTCCCTGTTCATTCCATCCCTCCATGGCTTATACCTCACCCCCATATTTGCTCTTCTGTTTTCCCTGACCCACCAAAATCAAATATTCCTCCTGCTATCCTTCTCACCCATTTCCTTGACCATGTCTCCACTCATTCCTCTAGTATTCACGTATATACTGATGGCTCCAAATCCACCTCCGGTACTGGTTTTGCAGTAATCTTCCCAACTCATACTTTACTCATACTCCCTCCCTCCTGAATCCTCCTCCTCTTTTACAATTATTACTGACTCCCATAACTCATTAACTCTCATAAAGTCAATACACACCACCAACCCCCTTGTTTGTAAGATCCAGAACTGGTTGTTCTACCTGTCCACATGCCATAAAACAATCAAATTTTGCTGGGTGCCCAGCCATGTTGGAAACCCCAGCAATGAACAGGCAGATACACTAGCATGACACGCCGCTCCTCCTGGTCAGCTCCATTTCATCAGAACAAACGTTGGGAGACCGCTCTCGCCCGCTTACGCATTGGCCACACCCGTCTAACACACTCCTATCTGATGTCACAATCTGATCCACCTCTATGTTCCTTATGTAATGTTCCCCTTTCAATCCCACACATCCTATTGTCATGCCCACGTTTTGAAGCGGCCCGTACCTCTGCTTTCCCCCACCTATCCTCCCTTCACCAACCTCCCAACCTATCAGACATCCTTACAGAATCCCACACTTTCTGCTTCAACAACCTGTTCTGTTTCCTCAAACGCATACATATCCTTCATCTAATCTAACTCCTTACCACACCCGACCTTAACCCTTTCACTCACCAATTCCTTAGACAACTAATCACTAACCCAACCACCCTTCACTAACATTAACTATAATGCTACATGACCTTAGATGTCTAGCACATTTATCTTGCTTTTAACCATTAACCATTAACCATTTAGTAAATTACTCTTCATTTTTTTTTTTTTTTTTGTGAAATATAAATATTTTTTCTAAAATTTTAAGCTGACAGAAAAAAATATTTCTTTGCACTTGGTCGAAACATTAGAAATTAAGTTGGCAATCATAAAGGTCTTGCTCAGTCGTCCATGTCTTCACTGTTTTCTAATTTAATTTTTGTTATATCATCCATAACCCATTTATTTATCAACAGAAACAAAAAGAAAGAGAACAACAAGAGTTAGAGAGATGGTACCCTAAACAGGTTAAAGTAAAGAAATACCACTGAATTGGTAAGTAATCCAAATCCATTACGAGAATTCTCACATCTCGTCTCTTATAATGAATTATAATTAGCATAATTAGTCGCCGTTTCCTACTTTTGCTTCTTGCAACTCCACCCCTGTTATTGATTATAGCTATATCCTTTGTAACGACTTCCATTTCTTTACATTCAGTTTGGAATGCCGCCACTCTGAAGGGTGCCGGCTCAGGTTCCTGTGAAGCTGCCGGATGCTGCTGCTCCGAAGGCCGCCGCCTCAGGTGCCTGTGAAGCTGCAGGATGCTGCTGCTCTGAGCGCCACCGCCTCAGGTTCCTGTGAAGCTGCAGGATGCTGCAGCTCCGAAGGCAGCCACCTGTGAAGCTGCAGGATGCTGCTGCTCTGAGCGCCACCGCCTCAGGTTCCTGTGAAGCTGCAGGATGCTGCAGCTCCGAAGGCAGCCACCTGTGAAGCTGCCGGATGCTGCTGCTCCGAAGGCCGCCGCCTCAGGTGCCTGTGAAGCTGCAGGATGCTGCTGCTCTGAGCACCACCGCCTCAGGTTCCTGTGAAGCTGCAGGATGCTGCTGCTTTGAGGGCCACCACCTCAGGTTCCTGTGAAGCTGCAGGATGCTGCTGCTCCGAAGGCTGCCGCCTCAGGTGCCTGTGAAGCTGCAGGATGCTGCAGCTCCGAAGGCCGCCGCCTCAGGTGCCTGTGAAGCTGCAGGATGCTGCTGCTCTGAGGGCCACCACCTCAGGTTCCTGTGAAGCTGCAGGATGCTGCTGCTCTGAGGGCCACCACCTCAGGTTCCTGTGAAGCTGCAGGATGCTGCTGCTCCGAAGGCCGCCACCTCAAGTTCCTGTGAAGCTGCAGGATGCTGCTGCTCTGAGGGCCACCACCTCAGGTTCCTGTGAAGCTGCAGGATGCTGCTGCTCTGAGGGCCACCACCTCAGGTTCCTGTGAAGCTGCAGGATGCTGCTGCTTCCGAAGGGCACCACCTCAGGTTCCTGTGAAGCTGCAGGATGCTGCTGCTCCGAAGGCTGCCGCCTCAGGTGCCTGTGAAGCTGCAGGATGCTGCTGCTCTGAGGGCCACCACCTCAGGTGCCTGTGAAGCTGCAGGATGCTGCCACTCCGAAGGCAGCCACCTCAGGTTCCTGTGAAGCTGCAGGATGCTGCTGCTCTGAGGGCCACCACCTCAGGTTCCTGTGAAGCTGCAGGATGCTGCTGCTCTGAGGGCCACCACCTCAGGTTCCTGTGAAGCTGCAGGATGCTGCTGCTCCGAAGGCTGCCGCCTCAGGTGCCTGTGAAGCTGCAGGATGCTGCTGCTCCGAAGGCAGCCACCTCAGGTTCCTGTGAAGCTGCAGGATGCTGCTGCTCTGAGGGCCACCACCTCAGGTGCCTGTGAAGCTGCAGGATGCTGCCACTCCGAAGGCAGCCACCTCAGGTTCCTGTGAAGCTGCAGGATGCTGCTGCTCTGAGGGCCACCACCTCAGGTTCCTGTGAAGCTGCAGGATGCTGCTGCTCTGAGGGCCACCACCTCAGGTTCCTGTGAAGCTGCAGGATGCTGCTGCTCTGAGGGCCACCACCTCAGGTGCCTGTGAAGCTGCAGGATGCTGCTGCTCTGAGGGCCACCACCTCAGGTTCCTGTGAAGCTGCAGGATGCTGCTGCTCTGAGGGCCACCACCTCAGGTGCCTATGACGCTGTCCCTGCGGCCTCGAGCACCAGGTGTTCGAGGCCGCAGGGACCTTACACCTGGTGTAAACCCATTTTTTTTTTTTTTTTATAATCAGATTTTTTTAGATTTAAATCAGGTTTACTTAATTTTTTATTTATAACCATATATATTTAGAACAATACTATGTATTGTATACATTGGGGTAAAACACATTTTGGAGTGCTTTAACAGCATTGTTACATTGTATAAAAAGTATGTTTCACATTTTGATAATATATTTTTGTGATAATGATAGAGCTGCAGGGACCTTACACCTGGTATAAACCCATTCCTCTTTTTCTTTTTTTTATAATCAGATTTTTTTAGATTTAAATCAGGTTTACTTTATTTTTTATTTATAACCATATCTATTTAGAAAGATACTATGTATGCACTGTATAAAAAGTATTTTATCACATTTTGAAAATGTATTTTTGTGATAATGATTATTATTGAAAAGTTTTTATAGGGCAATTGTCTGATCATGTATATAAATAATTGTACCAA